AACAGAAATGCGTAGCAGGCCATGGCGCAATACGCAAACAAAGAGGAATTGGAAAAGGCAAGGTAAGAGACGAAGTAGGAGCAGCGTGAGACGAAGACGGTACGGAGAAGGAATAGGGAGAGGGAGAGGGCAGGTTGGTGGAAAGGGTTTTTCTTTAACCCGATAAAACGTGATCCTCGCTTTATCAAGTTAACGTAATCCACTTATTTTGAACTGGCAACAAGGAGGGTTGGGTAAAGGGCTGGTCGGATGAGGAACGGTCCCGGAATAGCTAGTGTGGTGCGAGATTATGCAGGTGTAAAGCTCGCGGCAGGAAATACTGCCTTTTAAATTAATTTCAAGGGAACGTTCGTCGTTGTACACAGAAGCGACGAGCTGTTTGTCCCGTCGCTGTGTAATGCTACCTACCAGCTCTCTCCCTCGCCTTCCCTCTCTCTACCATCGCCTCCCCTCTGCACCTCTACTCGGTCTCGAAACTCCCCTGCACCTCACGGATTTGGCCGGGCCCTCTCGTCTATATCGCATCCTGCCGGTTGGACCGGTTCCAATTGCGAATTGAACCGTTCGTAACTGTTGAACGTGAATTATGGCGTTTATTTATTCTGCCCTGTCCCCCGTGCCATTCCCCGTTGGCCATCCTGTTCGCAGCCATCCATCCTACTACGCCCCCGAAATCAGTGCTTCGCGGACGATGGCCCGATTGTGTAACGACGCCCGATTTCCCTTGATTATAATCGAATCGGTCATTGGAGGATCGTTCAGATCGAGCCTCTGTTACAGCACAAATTGAAAGTAATAGAAATAAATGGTTATTTTTCGTTCGTGTAACTTGCCGAAGGTTAAAAAACGATTAATTCCTGTACACCGTTGTTTTTGCCGTTCGTTTCGTTTCGTTACACCCTTTGATCGTTGCACGCGAGATAGTTTGTGCGCGCCTCTCGTAAACAGTATAGCGAAACCTGAGTCAAACGAGTGAAAGTACTTAGAACTGGCCGTCGTTGTTGCGGAAACCACCGCCGAGTATGCGTTAGCGTGGACATGCATGATCTTCATTACCGTACAGTCACCATTATTTCGTATCAGAGCATCGGCGCGGTCCGCGTCGCGCAAAGTTTCGTTCGCGTTGTCTGACTAGTTTATGAATACCCCGACGCCGGGATGATTGTGACCGTGGTGGATGACTCGGGTCGGTGGTCGAGATGCCGGCGAAAACGGCGGGGTGGGATCAACAGACATTTATCAACCCTCTGTCCCTGACAAGCGGGCACACACGCAGAGACTGTACTATACGTGTATATACAGACCCGGGTCTCGCTTCCTCTCGAGACTATCTTCCTCTTCCTCTTATCTGCTGCTGTCCCTCTCAATCGTGTGGGTACTGGGTACACCAGCGCGCGGCGTTATAACTCAAACGCGGGAAGAGGAAGAGAAACCCCTTTGACTAGTACCGGGATAGCAGATATTACTTTTATACACGTGATACCGCATCAGTTGCTCGAGACAAAGGCAGGGAATATATGACGTCGTTGAACGACAGTTCGCGGGAAGTTGTTAGACGAGCGCCGACAACGCGCGCTTCAATTTCGCCGGAATGGCAGTCATTTTCTACTTCTGCCTTCTTTCGTGTTCCCGCTTTCATCCCCTTTCTCGATGCCCACACTTTTTTACTCTTCTATTAATTTCCCGGCTCACTAGCCCTCGTGGCCCCGCCATGTCACCGGGAAGGGGTTAAGCGATGAACTCCGCAAAAGGGTTTTTGCGGCGGTTCCCCGTTCAGCCTGAAATTTCCCCCTCTCCAGAGAACCGTCAGAGAATATCTTAGAATTCATTTCGGGGAATTTATATTTTTTCACAGACACTGTTTAACCTCTTTGTTCATCCCCTAGTTGTCACGAAAAGATCTATCGTATTTTCTTATTGTGACAATATTAATTTCAATTGCTAATACATTTGTCTACTGTTAAAAATTGTCAGTCAGTGTTCGCTATCAAATACGATGTCATGTATCTTGTGTATAATCATTAATTCATCGTACAGTGATTTGTCGTGGAAATTAATTCACGGTGAAGAGGCTAATAAAATTTCCTCGTCAACGTTTCGCGTTTTACGGGTTGCAACCGTGATGAGGGACATGACTGATAGTCGTTGAGGGTGTCATTTTATCAGTGCATAGCAAGGCGGAAGGACTTTGACTAATGACATTGCCGCAACAACTTATTTGTTATCGAGATTGCCTATTACTTATTCTATTGGACAATATGTCTGCCGTACCTCGTCGTTAGTTCGTCGCTACCTACGGACGCAACGAACTCCTCTCAAGGTTCTCTATCGATTATTGCCAACCCTGTTTGTCCCCGTGGAAATGATTGCACTTGTAGCAGCAGACGAAACGGAACGAGGGGAGGAAGAAAATTTTATTCTTATTTTTAAATAGTCGAAAGGCAAACGCTTTTTTTAATCGCTTGATTAAAAATGATGTGCTCTTGTTACGTTGTGGTAATGAAATAATACTAGTCTTATACTTAAAAATACTTTCTATCTTTATTTTGAAGAAGTTTTACAATTGAGACTAAAGTGTATTACACTTTTTTAGTCAATAATCGATAGTAGTTAATTACAGTAATAACTCGTCAATATCTACCGAGATTCTGTATTTCGATAGTTAAATCGGATTATTTCTAACTAGAGTAGCGGAGGATCATAAGATTAGGTACTACATGCGTTGATCGATAAACACGAGATAAACGATGTTCGTCCAATGAAATTAGAATCAGATTAAAATCAAGCGTAGGAGAAAATATTTTTGGGAAAGTTGGGAATCGTGGCGTGGAGTAGGGAAACTTCGACTAATCACGGTTGGTATCGGTATAAGTACATAATAGGTAATAGGTGCGTATCGGAGATAGGAATCGCCGGATGATTAATTTGATCGTTTGTTTCGCGTCACGTACACGCACGTTCATAAATATGCGCACGTACATACGAACACGAGTTCAATTTGATTGCAAGGCGGGACGCGTGTCCCAGGGTTGCGAAGATATTAATTAGCTTTCAGAGTTAATCGCGTTCTCCATGATGCCCGCCGTTGCGTTGCGTCGATGTACACAGAATCTACGCGTTTTCGCACGGCCCGCAGTAATATCTGCGGTCAGACTCAACAATCGATGAGGTCGACGACCCGACGGATAAATCATTGAAATCGGACAATCCTAATCTTGTTTCGATCGAGAGCAGAGATTAGGCTTTGTTTGCGTACAAAACTTTTGGTATGGAAGTCTATCTTCCGATTAGGTCGGGCGGCATTGATAACCGATTCACACCGACAGTGGTATTAACGGTAATCATTACATATTGTGCAAACATTCGAAGACAAGCACATAGAATAGGACAAGAGTTTGCTTTGATGCGGAAATCGTCGAATCATTCTGCAATTTGCTTGTGCAACAATTCTACGAATTCCATGTATACGTGTTCCTTTGATATAAGTAATTCGCAATCGAGTGGTACAAGCGGTCGTGATTTGTACAAATCATCCTTTGAATCAAGCTCGTTACGCAGGTGCTTTGCCAGTGTGTCGCGTTTCCTCTTTATGAAATCAATATACTGAATTCACTTACCTATATTTCATTTAACATTCAACTGGCTGAGCACATTTGTTACTCTTTTCCCCACATTTACGTTTAATTGTTCGTTAATTCCGAGAGTGGAGGAAGAATGTAATTTTTGTATAATTGACCTTAATTTTTGCATTTTGGACTTTATCGTCGATAATAATTATTGCTCACATTCCACTGTTGTTTCTGGCCCACGTTTAATTACGCTTTGCAATTATTCCCAGTCAGCTATTTCAATATATACTCATGAGAATTTTATTACCATCTGTTCTGTTCATATATTAGGCATTTTAGGAGGAGTCATTTGATCAGACATTTTCCGACAAATGTAATTACAATTTCATTCGACAGAACAATTAAATGATCGTCTACAATTTCGAGAAATTCATTCAATGTTACAATTTAATCGGTGCGAACATCGCGAGCTAATTTTCATGCGAAAAACCTGCCCGTCGTTAATTAAAGGAAATCGACCGAAAATTAGGAGCAATTTCCGTTGCGTCGCGAGAATGTACTGCATATTTTTTTCATTCCCCAGCCCCGCCGTTCCATGGATTTGCTCGGCGTTGGTCCCGCGGGCGTCGCACCGCGCCGCGCCGCGCCGCTGCGGAGGCGCAATTAATCCATAAAATAGATATGCACAGTGTGCAACGCATGTTCAACAGCAATTTCATCGCGCGAGCCTCTCACTCTCTTTGTTTGGACTGAAACGGTCATGCGGTATACGCGAGGAAACGTGACAGGGACATTTATTCGAAACACCGCGACACGTTTTCGTTTGCACGTCGTGAAAGTGCGACTCGCCCCTAAATCTTTCCGCGTTATAACAGGCAAAAATTTACGCATGCAGCGCAATGACTGTTTCGATGACAGCGTGAGTAATATAGGAGAGGAGGTACGCGAGTTCATCGAAGACTCGGCCATTAATTAAACCGGAGCATAACTACCCGATCCTCTTTTTTATGAACGGAATTTATAAAGTTACACGTTACGAAGATCTATTACTGCACATATTTTAATTGTAAATATTAATTAAATTCGTTTTTACAAATCTACGTAAATTTGTACTATATGCAAAATAAAAATCGTATAGATATTCATCTTGCTAGACTGAATGTTGAACTCTATTTTATATGTAGTTTTATACTGGTTAATACATAAACTGATTGAAAATACTAGATCGTTCTCATAAAAGAATTTCTACGATTTCCATTATTACTAGATTATGAGTTGATGAAAATAAGGATAATAAAGAGAAAATACTGAAGACCATCCATGATTTTATTTACACTATTTCGTGAAAGTGGTATTTCTTGTACAAAGTGATCTACGCGTCGTTTACTGATTTAGTAATCAGTACGGGAATACTTATTTTTAATGTATGTATCTAGCTTAATACCTTGTTTATTCTACATGCCCGATGATGGCATGCCCCATTAGGAAATCGTCACAGTAGTTGATTAACGTTGTAAAGTATATTACTAAATTTGTACTATTCGGCTAACACGGAAGACCATTTCCGACGTACATATTTTCTTTTGCTGGTTAATCCTAGAACACAAACTTGTCATTTTTCTCAGTCAAACGTTCTTATCGTTGCAACTGTTACTCCATGTTTTGTTCTCAGAGAATTTAATAATAAAACTCTGCAATGATTGTCGTCAGATTTTATAAATGTTAGAATTACACATGTTTGTGCTCTAAGATTGACTCTATCTTACATTACTTAGAAATACCGTTAAACTCTCGTTCCGTAGTAAAAAGTGTATAAAAACTGAACAATCTCGATCGATTGATGTCAGCATCGTAATTCAATTGGCTAATTGGGATTCCACAGCCTTCAATATAAACCAAGTCGCGCAGTTAGCACATGCGGTTTTCATTTAACTTTCCCTCGATTTGAATTTCTAATATCTTATTAGAAACATCGAATTTACGGATCTAACAGGCCTAATTCGTCAAATTCTGGTATTCTTCGCGTCAGTATCTTCCGGAGCTGTTCACCGGTTAAATATGTTAAAGACGCATCTTTGTTCACCAATTCGTCGACCTCTATCACGTCCTCTTTGTTGGCCACAACTAATGGCAAAACAGTGAACGATGCTACCAGCGCATAGAACGCTCGTTCTTTCAGGGTTCTTTTCAACTCATCCATGGTAGGCGGCGACGTTTTGCAGTTGAGTTTTTGCATGGTCAACGTGAGCGTACGCAGGTACTCCTCCTTCACTTCCTCTAGGTGATTGGTGTAAACTTCCTCGGACGGGCTGGTAGCCAGGAAATAGTGCAGGTCGATCGCGGGTGAATTGTAGACGCACAGTTGGAAATCCACCTGAAATGTCAATTCGAATCTCGATCGATTCAAGGCGGAGCGAATTGAATTGGAAATGAAATGTGCGCGCGACACGGGTTCACGAGGTTCCCAGCGAAAGAAGTGTGCGAAGTTCGTGTTTAGGAAATCGTCACAGTAGAGAGTTTGCGAGCACGCGCTCTCCTCTGGACCGTCAGTTCAGGAATGTAATACCTAAACGCGATCGAATTGGATTTATTGCATTATTCATATTGTGCCCCGTCACGGAAGGACATAACTGAATTATTCTTTCGGTGGTTAACTGAATTTGCGATAGTTTTAGAATTGAATATTGGACGCCTATTACTGAGTTCATCATAAAGGTTTGATACTTACAAAAATATGCTCAATAGGCTTCGAGTTTTCGTCGTATCGGAACATCATATTATTAACCCAACAATCTCCATGATTGATGACATTAAACTCGTCGTCGTTTCGCTTCATAACTTCCAGACTCTTTTCATACAGTTTTGGAACAATACTTCTAATTTTATCTCCATACCTGCGTATACCAATATTACGTTCAACATCGAAATCTTCATTTCGCTCTTATCCTTAAATCGCATTTGACCTTGGAAATGAAAAATCAATTTTACCTTTTTCCAAGCTCTGGCCACTTGTCTACTTCCGCGGCTATACCCTTGGAACTCGTTACCATGAAATTTACTATATCCTCAGGATATTCTGAACTAAACATTCCCTTCCAGTAGATTGCTTTTTGCTTGGGTTCCTATCAATGGTATGTCTTTCGTCAGGATTCTCATTTCTTCGTTTGTAAATTTAAAGAACTTCTTTACCTTCTCGCACAAAGCAACAGAGGACGCGTGAAACTTCGCCAATGCTCGAATAGTCATCATCGTGTGAGTCAAATCAAGTCCGAGCTGACGGTTAGCCATACGAAATCCTAGAGTTGCCAGATCCTCCATGATCAAACACAGTGGTCGTTCCATCCTGACGTGGTAAATGTGCGCACCGAGCCGACAGCCCAACATGTCGTTCATCTTCTTCAGGGTGTCGGACAACATAGCGATCTCCGTGTCGAAGATTTGGATTTTCCTGATCTTTTATAAAACGTTCAGCACATAAGTTGTAATATCGTGTCTATAATTATCTTAAGTATCACAATATAAGAAAAAACAGTAGGTTCACTCTGTCAAAAAGTGTAGTGATAATTGACTTCCGTACATGAGAAAATCGCACAACCAATAACATGACGATATTGGACATTCGTGACTCTAGCTATATTTAAAAATATTTATAATTTAAGAAAAAGAGTGAAAGATGGTTACTATCGTCCCTTTTTAAAGAGTGCAGAAGTGCAACCAGCGAAAAGCTGACAAAGTATAAATATTATTCCAGATTTTTATTTAAAATAATAAGTTTAGTAAATATTTAATTTCAATTGTAATTACATCGAATATAATTAATAACTGCCAATCTTTCCAAAATTTGCCTTGAGGAATTAAAATAAAACATCAGTTATCTTTTTGTAATCGTATCGATAATAATCTGTATAATTATGATATCAATAACAATCGAGTCTGATTAATCCATGATCTTGTAGTATATAAGATGGTGATTTTATCTTTGGACTCAGTCCGCGTGCAGCTAACAACATGGCGAATTTGTTGGTCATGAGATCATCAGAGCTAGTACTGTAAGTGAGTCTACTGTTCTTTGTTATACTGTGTAAATACGTTGCGGCATTGAGAATAGGGAAGACTCTAATATTTTTCAATTTCCTAATATAGCATAGAATATATAAATTTAAAAGAATAATTAGAATTCTTCTCTAAGATACCATCAAAATTTACTAACCACTTGTCAAGAGTACCATAAGGAAGCGATAACAAATAACATTTCCTCTATTGTTTCCCGTGAATCGAAACAAAAGTCTCGGATTCCTGCGAAAATAATTGTTCGATATATTTAACGTCTTACTAAATCTTGCCGGGGACCTTCCTCCATCGGCTCGAATTTGAAGATGAGCGCCTTCTTATCGTTAACTCTCTTGTCGCCCTGTTTCCGGGAGAACTCGATCGTCACCCTCATCATGTCGCTAGTGTAGTTGTCACCCTTGTTGGTAGCCCGTTTTGTAAATACATCGATCACCTGAATGGTGCTGTCGTCTTCGGACAACCGAAGGATCCTCTCGGCGAAGTCGATGTTCAACCATGACGGTGTCTCTAGGGCCATTTCTGAAATTGGAATTGGAATTGGAGAATTTCCTCGACAAATCATTGTTCTTCGCCGCGCGCCAGGAAACGCGGAAACGATTCTTTACGGCAACTTATTGTTCACGGCGAGATTTATCACGCTCTCCTTTCTTCCTCACTTCCCCGTTCCTTTCCTCTCTGCGCTTTCAACTGCGCTTTCTCTCTCTCTCTCTCTCTCTTACTCTACCCATTTATACAGATATATATGTATGTATATATGTATTTCTCCCTTTTCTCCTTTCTTCGTCTATGCGCTCGCCCTTTGACTCCCGATATTCACGGAGAACGTTTCTCGCGTTCGAGATCGCTGTTTCAATTAGGAACGTAATGGAACGAGGACTCTCCTTTTCCTTCTGATTTCTACCTTTCTCTTTTACGCCGCGTCGCATTTCACGCCACACGGCACGTTTCACCGATCGAGATTCCATCGAACGCGATCGAGAGTCACGGTATTTTAAGGAGATTTACGACCGGTCCCTCCGGAACGCGAACAAAGAGACGCGTTTCCACATTTTTTCCCTCCTCTCACTCCACTCTGGACACGGGTGTTTCCTCAAAGGACGGAAACTTTCGTAGCTGCAAGTTCGCGGTCGTTCCGAAAGATTTAAATCGGTGGTCACAGCGTACACGAAACTTTTTAATAGTACCGGCTTCGGGAAGTTTACCCCACCACGTATATTTAAACGAAAGATTTAATGGTCACATGGAATAACGCGTAAGTCTGTCGGTGACTAGGGAGGGAGATAAGGTTGGCTGTTAGGGAAAATACGGTTCACGGTTTATGCGGTACTTGCAACCATTTCATAAGTCAAGCTTCGCGTTGAATCGCGTCACTAAACAATGACCGATTAATTATTGAAGATAACGAATAACTATGCCACTGGCGAGGTCAACGAACGTTTTTTAGGGTATACGTAGATATTTTCGTTTCTTTCCTCGATCGACGCATCCACATTCACGAAAGCAGTACCTCAAAGATAATTCAATCATGTTTAAATGTTTAAAAACATCTAATGAACTGCATAATAATCTATAGGATAATGAGTAACATTTTTGTTTACTTTGATAATGTCTGACAGTATTTCATGATTATCTCAAGCACGTAAAGGATGTGCAAACATTACGCAATTGAAATGAAGGAGATAAATTATCTTCAGCACACGTCTAACATAAATGCGTTTCACTATTTAAAATCGTTTTCCTGAATAACCAAATAAACTATTATAAAACCGCACTTTAACGATACATTTTTCAATGGACTCACAAAACTAAACGTTTTCTGTGGAAAATTTCGTTTCAACATTCTCAATAGACTTGTGTTTAAATAAGGATGCGATTATTTGTCACGTAACAGCAGTATTAATTATTTAAAAAAACACGTGTAAAACAGGTATCATCGTTATAATCGTCTTCTTCGTGAGAAAACATTTGTACACTTGGTGACGTTTCGGGGACACGAGTGAACAGGCCAGATTCAAGGACGAAAAACGAAAACTCACAAATGTAACATAATTAGTCATTGATGATTGACACTGACCTGCTGACATTCTAAATGTAGTTCAAGGAGCACCTTATAATGATCACTACACTGGAGACTGCGTGGTTGGAGTGAGCCACTAGGAACCGATGTTTCGCGCTTTATACGGACGTCGACACATTATTTATACACCAATGAGAGACCTCACAAACCGCATACGTCATCCATCGTTATCGCCGCCGGATAACAATCAACCAAGAACGCCTAACGTTCGTCGATCTTATCGTTTCTATTATTTTGTATGCACACACGTTCACTGATATCTTTCCTATCGCAATAATTTTTCATTTTCAATAATGTTGAATTGATATGACGTAGTGCTTGATCTGCTTGATTGCTCAGTCAGTCTGTCTTCAAGTGCAACTCGTTTTTTAGATCGCGTCTCGCGAAGCGATGTCTCGTGTAAGAGTAAATAGGACGTAGGCAACGAAGGCGCAAGATGATGGAAACCAGATATTTATACGTTGGGACTTATTGGGAACGCATTGGAAAAAAGGACGGAAGGATAATTGAGCAGTCATTTAGTCGATTGTCAACTGAGTCACTTCGTACTCTTTTTACTGGTTTTTCGCAGTTTTGCTGAATCAAATTATGTTGAACAAAAATATTTGAAGTTTTTAGCAGATAAACTCCTGACCTTCTTACAATCGTTTCCAGACTTCTAGTAGATACGAGGTAATGACGAGAACTAGTACAATAACCTTGGGCGATCTATGCACTTTTATTTTTTGTACACCTAGAAAAGATAAGGGAATATCGTATGTACGATAATCCTCCGGTCAAAGCAATGTAAGAATATTTCGAGGCACGTGTCGCGATGTCATAATTTCTGTTGATGAAGAGACTCCTATAATTTATGCTGGCGTACTATATCGCCTCGCTGGATAATTTGCCTATGATTTGCATCTAGCTCGTTGCGAAACGAGTGTTCTGAAATGACAGCGCAGAGAATTCAGTGTGCTGAATATCAATGCGTCGCGTCGCGTCGGATCGCCAATCTCGCTGATACTCTACGCCATTTTAATGCTGAATATTAATGAATATCGTCTTTTCCTGCTGCATCGTGAGATTGCATTGTTTCCATGATCTGATAGGCCGAAATCAATTAGAACGACCGATAAATTGCGCATTGTCTCCGTCGTCTCAGAACATGCGTGCTGTTCATTCATCGTACAGATTGATTCATAAGTTTTAGGATACTAACAAGTGGATGAGAAGAGGTGAACGTTTTTGGCCAGATGGAATATAATGAGTAATATAATAAATCACACATTAAATCACGTAAAATTTTAACGGAATTTTCTTCACATAAAATAATGTAATGAATTGTAGAATAATATGTTTGTTTTTTAAGCTCGCTAATTGTTTTATATTGGAAATTGTCATTTAAGAGGCCTGAAAAAAGTACTGTCTCAATTGTATGTTATAATTTTCTTGTATATTATACTACACACTATTCTGTACCCATTCTTATAATATTTCATTCAATTACATTTTTATATCGTGTTCTAAGACATAAGAGCAACATCACTAATTGAAGTCGTAGGCGAACGGTGATTATACACTATCGCTGTTCGTGTTTACTATCAAAGGAAACATCTTGTCATTTGACCGGTGTTAATCATCAGACATCCTAGTAATTAACGTTGCGGCTGTTTCAGTGGTCTCGTGTGCTCTCACATGAACTCCTCTTGTTTTACGTAACTCGGCAATATGGTTTAATCCTAATACTTATAGTTAGTTAGGTTCTACGGAGGAGTCAATTGATTCTGTTATGAAATAGCTGCTCGGAATGAATTCGCGAAGACGCTCGCAGTATGCAAGTCACTATTCTCATTGTCATCTTTACACGCGTTCTGTTACAAGGTTTCATAACAACGCATAACGCGTGCAATACATGTATGATAAAAGGTTTTATACCTAATCTTGGCGTAACTTCTCGCAACCGTTTTACAGATATAGAGTCTGTAATATTGCGCAACTCGTTGTAATAGTAATCGATTATCTGCGATAATTTTATCTCGTTGAAGTGACCGGTGAGAGGATGTTGGAATTGATAGCAGTCTTGTGATGAAAAGATCGATTCAATTTGGAGCACCACGATTTACAGTCTTAAAAGATTTAAAAGATCTTTGAGGTACACATCATGCATGTACATAAGCACTTTATTACATAAATATTCAAAACTCAATATTATATAATAACACTCAACAGTAGTAGCGTTAATTTGTATAGTATACTTATACCAATTTGTTAGCATTCGATTTATGTTTATTCAAGCACGGTGATAAGATAATTGTTGAAGAATTATGGACATGTATGTCTTCCATTATCTTGAGACAATAGGAAGCGTTCAGATCTCGAGCGCGAGACCTTTTTATTTCGTTCCACTTCAATCGGTAGTTATAATACTGATAAAGCCGATAATGCACGCACAGTTCCAGTGGCCTAAATCACAATGCTGTCGTGATTGTGACCAAAATTATACAGACGCGTATAATTTTATTGTTAGAATTCTAGCGGGTATACCAGTTATTGTCTGTCGAATATATCTACATGAGCCGATTAAGTAGAACCGTCCGCTAGTTTTCAATTACATCATTCAGTGATCAGTTGCCGCTGGTCATACTAAATTTTAATTAAACCCGATCAATCCTGCATATATATATATATGTACATGTATGACACAGTGCGTTGTATACACAGCAAACCTTGGTATGTACAAACTCAGCTTCACTTAGGACTCTTTTTGTAAATCTGTTTCGAAAATTGTGTAATCGGAGTAAAGTATTGGTACAACCTCGAAGAGTTCGAGAGACGTGCTACCTGGGAATCGGCCATGTCCACGTGACAATCAATTTTAGAATTTGCTGGTTCAATATTTGCACGTCGAGGAATGAATGCCTAGAGGCATACAAGTACACTCGGCAGAAAATATGCCACCGCCCAACTCCATTTACTGTTTTTTAAATCATCGAGTAGTTTTATGGCAATTAACTAGTGATTACTCTATTCTTAGTTGTTAAACACTTGGCAGGGATACATTGTGTTTCCTCGTTGCATAAATTGCTTTATCACTGCGTTATCTCTTTACAAACAGTAAGAATATATCAATATGTAATACGATAAAATAACATTCATGTTAATAAGTAACGTACTAAAATGTAAATGTATTGTCTATTCCCATACGACTGTACTCTTGATCGTTAGTTTACTTCCTAGAATCATATAAAGAAAGTAATCATTAAATGCTCTTGTCACTATTATACAATCTGTAGGCACGTGTGAAGTGTTACGTCACTCAAAGCGAATCAGCCTTGAGCTACTGTTGGATACACACATGCAATCTGTTCATCTGCTCAATGGTTGATGATTTATTAAAACGAGAAGTTGAAATTGAATCAATTTTCGCTCCGTTGAAGGTTAAACTCTTTAGTTCATCAGTTACCGCTAGTCTATGGTACCAAAGTAGTTGGTTTATTCAGCAGTGATTCGTAAATTCAGTATGTCTATGACATCCAAGCAGTTGGTTTATTCAGCGGTGATTCGTAAATTCAGAGGACTGTGACCCAATCAGGATGATTACTCTCCCGCGCATCTATGAGGGATTAATTCTAACGTTTCTCGGAAATAAATACGATCGGCCGTTAATTGACTTCGACGTGTATAATTTTCGTCGATTCAATCAGCTATTCGACGTCTTGTTACGCAGCATTGGTACAGATTCTGAAATTAACGGAGCACGGGAGGAGGGGATAAAAAAGAAACGTTGCAATTTATACGGGTCACGCTTTGATACACGCGTTGCGTTGAATTATCGAGCAATTGCGCAATGAAAAATTATATTGCCGTGTACGGAGTGAATTTACAATCGCTCCGTTTTATCGATATCGCCGTACGGTCGTTGGATGATGCTTTAAATCCATGGAATATATATGACGCAATTTGTGAAACGGCACGAACGGCTGACAGCAGAACGTTACCGTCGCTTTCGTAGATAATCGATCTCAAAAGCAGTTCTAGTATCGTATACGGATATAAAATGTGCTCAATCGCTAATCACTTAAGTAAACAAGCTATAAAGAGGATTTTATTTTTACCAAAATTGGATTTTTCGATCAAAGATTACAGACGATGATAAAAGGTGTCATATGACTGGAGTTGAGAGTGTCAAGCATGAATCGTTGATTGTGCGAATTGCGCAATCTAACAGTCCCTCTTTAGTGAAAGTTTTGTGAAAAATCCAACCGTACCATAATTACTTCTTTCCTCCATGAACGAGTAGTAACAAAGAATCCATTAGCCGAGAATAAAAAAGAACTGTTCCCGAAAGGATCGTTTCCTGGGAATATCCGGCTACCTACCGTATTACCAGGAACCGGAAAGGTAGCATCAATTCTTGTTGGTCCAAAGCGTAACGCCGCATACAGGTACATGCCCTTTGCTCGTCCCGGTAGTATTTGTAACTCGCCAGTCTCCGAGTAACTGCCCAAACATAAACTTTTACTATTATAGCGATCATACGATGCGATCCTGAGAGCAGGTACGGACTTGGGCCGATCGTCCGGCACGTTCAAATATCGACGTTCAAATATCAATAGAGGCTGCCGCTAAGTCGTCGCGAAACGCCCGCGATTGCGAGCACTTCGCTTGAATACAGTCGTTACGTTTCCACCCTCTCGTATCCCAGTCGTGTATAGACCCTTCCAAGTCTTCTTAGTCCATTCCCGCTGTCCCCGTGAGCCTTTCACCCGACTATCGAGTCGTTCGCTCCTCGTGTTTAAGACAATTGTACTCCGGGTAAAAAGAACTACGTACTCCTTTCCTAATTGCAGGAAAAGGAAGTACGACTTCTTTGAAACGTTTGAACAATTCCTCTTATTACTTCGACGTCGAATATTAATTTTCCATCATTATTAAATTCACTTCTATATTTGGCAGTTTTCCTTTCGAATCTTCCCACTTTTCCTAAGGGAACATAATACCTGTAAATAGAGTTGAGAAAAAATAAAGAGATATTCCTTCCTCTGAATCTTAAGTTCACGATTATTCAGGAAGTAAAGATGCGTTTGCTCAGTCAGCAAGACTGTGTTTGGTATGCACACAATGACTAGCAAATCAGCAATAATATCAACGAGAATTAAACTGCCAACAGTCTATCGAGTGCCATAAAACGTACTCTAGACTCCGTCATCGTACATTAGATAACGGGTACGTCGCAAAAAGTTTCTATCTACTGTAGATGATTGATTTTTGTTGCTTAATACTAGAATATCGCTTGAGCGTACATTTTTGTATGGAATACCTTGAAAATGTTTTTAAATGATCGCCCGCCGCGATATTTTCTCCCCCTGTTAGGGCACTTTAGAAGAATCCGCCCGCTGTTGTTATCATCCCTGCGCCCTTCCTCGGGGAGTCGATCCAATCACCCCCTGCCGGGTTTGCAAAATTTCCAGTCGATGTCGGTAAATGGGACGGGGGCCTGGAGAAAAGGCGAAAAAAATACGGGAAGAAGAGAGACTGGCTTGTTTTCAGGAACCACTCAATTCCGCACGGTTGTTCGTCATTTCGCCGTTATCTACGTTATCGCGGGGCGTATTGCGCGCGAATAATTGCAACCGGTAATATGTTTGTCGGGAAAAATGCTGGAATGCGTTACAGCCTACTGCGTGACAACATCGCTTGATAACGTATTAAAACGGGGAGAAAAAGGAGTTCGTCGTGGACTGCTTGTAACGAGAGGTTGATTATTATTAATTGTCACGATACTGTTGATTTACGCCCTCTCGTGCTCCATCGTGTTGCTATTCTCCTTCGCCAAGATTATCGCGCTTACGACGTCTCGTATATTATTTAATAAGAGCAACGGCATGGAAATTAAGACAATTCTAGCTTTGTCCGCTAATTAAAGTCTGATATTTATTCTGCAATACGTTATCGGTAAAACTTTAAATACTGATAACGCACAGGTCGGTCACTGTACGGATCGTCGAAATTCGTCTGCCAGCCTGTAAGATAAAATTTGCTCGCTGTATGCATTGTAATTTAAAACTGATATATGCACATTATTGGCACATGTAAATTTTTGAAATGTACATGTAGTCGTTAATTTAACACTAATTTAATATTTTACGTTCGTATGTGGTGCAATGACTCTCACAAATAGTGTTTGCATTGTACACCGATAATAACAAGAAGATTACATTTATCTATCAAATTAGTATGGGCATACACTCTACCAAGCATGTTTCAAGTTAATATGTACACTATCGCTTACACGATTATGCGCGTAAAATTTGAAACAGTGGTTTCAAATCTGTACATTCTAAACATTAGTAGGATTTTATGCTTACGTCGATAACGTGTATGGTAAGTTAACACGAGCTCAAGGATGTGCTTTATAGCTCATTATTATTTCCTCGAGTTGAAAACGTTGGGGGCGCATAAAATTCTAATCGGCGACCAAATATTTGAGAAACTTGCGGAATTGTATTTACAGCGATTTATAGCTCTAGTGCAATTTTCATGATCTATCAGGAAGGATTAAACAGAGTATATACAATCAGCGTATCTTGAATGATCGATCAATATTTCATTTCATGATATCGTGCAAGTTGCGATTGCACTTACAAATAGCATGATTGAAACTCCAAAGTGCAAGAGCTCAAGGTTTAATAATCGTTGGTAATGCTAAACGGCGAAATAGCGATAACGCACATGTTATCGGGTACAAGTTTGCAGCCCTGCTGCGAGCCATGAAAGAAACTAACGCTCGTTTTGGATACCGGGATGAATTATGCTTGGGAACGATTGCGAGAGAAACGAGCAAGAAAAGCGGTTCTTATCGAAGCGAGATCCGTGAAATACGCACGGGGCTCGCGTTCCTTCGTGACATTAATTTCCCGCCGATAATGGACGAAGTTATAAAACGAAACGGTCCATTAGATGATTTTCACGGTTAATTGGCCATTCATGACCGTCCGTATCAGGCTTTTTTCGGTCAACGCGTAACTACGCCCGTTCATTTTCCATGGCCGGGATATCAGTTTAATCCTATGATTCGCGAAAACGTCGTTTACATTCATTGTTACGTAATCGAGATTATCTAATTGTCAGTTTTGTACGCCGACGAACTATGATGCATCACATTGTTGTGACCGACGTAACAGGCAACGTTACTCGCTTCGTATTTTTGTTAAGAGATAATCGCGGGTTTTGCGGCAGCGGTTATCGTGAGGGATTTAATTAATCCCGATGATTTTATCCTTGTTTAAACTAATTGGCATTCTTGTAGAAGGCAGGGATGATCGTAAGTGAGAGACACGTGTCACGGGATTCACGGGGATCAGTTTTGTGTGCGATCAAATTTATTAGGAGAAGCCTAAATAAACGGGCGATCGCTATTAAGTTGGGAAGTCCAATCACGCTTCGTATCTCCTGAAAACCGGATTCCCGTTTCCGGAAATGACGTTGGCTCCTAAACGAGCTCCGTTCCCGAATCAGAGACCTCGTCTGCAGGGACCTCATCTTACGTATCTGAAATTGTCTTGCGGTTCTTAGGACGATAATATCGATTACTATATTTGAAATAAGCACGACACCTTGATTCTCTGCTGGAGAATCATGTGCAAATAAATAAGAGCATATAGCAAGAACTATGCTTGAGTGTGAGTGCTAGGTTTTTAATATACGCCATAATGGGCGTCACACTTTTCGAGTAATGTGAACAATAATTGCTTGGTCATGATTTATTATCAGAAACAGATAATTATACCTTGAAAAGCTGGCACATGTTTTTTTCTGAACAGACAGCAATTGCCTCGCGAGTTTTCATTTTTCCTGTTTTTATACACCAGAAACGATCAACCGGCATTGAGCTCGCTTGTTACCAGTTTTATCCGGCTCCACGGTTAAACGAGATTTGCATTTGACAGGGAATATCATAAATCTAAAGACAGTGCATTAGCTCCCGGGTCACCGATCGGAATATAGGACATAATCAGGCCAGGTCGAGCTGAAGATGACGTTCTCCGTTTTAGCCGGTTCCCTTGGAACCAAACTCTATCTTCCATCCGAAATTCGTGAGATTATCCAAGATACCTATGATTAATACTCGGCATCCGGTTTCGTTTGGTCTCGTTATCGATTCCGCAGCCGTGGAAAACTCGTCGTCCCCGTGCAACGTGATCGCGGGCATTAATTTGTGCCCGGGTTGCACGGCCATCGTTATGATTAATCCCAGCAACGTGGAACAATGCCCCGTCTAACACGGGTCCTCACCAACATTACGGCAAATAGCCAAGCTCAAACAATACAGTTTCTATTCGGCCAACGTCGACGGTTCTACCCGGCGCAAATATTTAACAAGCTAATATCGCTGATAAGTACACGTCATCGATCGATCGATGCTGACTTCTGTATCGGTTGATCACCGTCCGTGGCTGGCTAATATTCGATTACGGTTAGGTGTCGGCGATTTCCATCCTGCCGTCCTAGAACGTCGTGTGTTCCCTAGCCAACTATCGATTAAACTATCCAGGTCATTGACTCCGGGATCCTCTCCGAAAACTTCGTCAGGCGAACGATTACCACTTGTTGTTCTCGTCTTGCCGAACGAATTTAGATACGACATTTAGTTAAACACGTCGATTTTCGCAGTAGAACATAACAAAATACCGAAAGAGATCTTTTACAGGAATTTTAGGAGTATTTATTGTAGAAAATTCTCAAAATTGTTTGCTATAGAAAGAGATAAGTTTTGCACTACGTTCCCTTACCGTTCTTTGATACGGGTAGATAAGATTATTAGTTACGAAGGAAACCGGTTCTTGCTGAGCTACTGAAAACACTTTATGAAAATAAGATATCCCTTCCGAAGTTGATATTTAACGATGTGATTACACAGTTCATTCGCCAGGTCTTTGCAGCTATAAGCACGCTGCATCCGCATTTGCATACCCTGCCCGACCGATAGGCGCTCGATTGTACGTTCACCCCGCAAAGGGATAACATTAAACCGTAGCGGGCGCAGTGAATAGATGAGCTAACGGTCCCGTACTTAGTTGTTAAAGCGACCAGGTGAATATCGTTCCTCTTAGGGAGCGCCTGTTCGTCGCGATCGAAGGTTTATCGGAATCTGCGGCAAAGGATTTAATAATCACCGTTCCCTTACCTACCGCGTCCCGACCGAAGTTTCGATCATCCCATCCCGCAATTCGGTAACATTTTGTCACGTAATTAAGGGCGTTAGAATGACGCAGGCCGCGACGGGATTAAACTCCCTTTCGTCGCACTGTTCGCATTGTTATTTCGTCGCGTGCACGCTGATATTCCGATATCCCCTTGAAGCTTAACCGGCTCTAATCTGTTCGCCGCCTCGCAAGTTGCCGGCTGCCGGATTTTCGAACGATTACGGAAGCGGGGAGACGCGTGTTTAGAATATTAATTAGCTCGGTTTAGAGGAATCGGGTGTACGTGGCGCGTAAGGTACAAGCCGCACAATCCCTTCGTAATAACCGTGAAACGTATTCGAGCAGCAATTTAAGGCCCTCCTGCGTTCGCTTCCTTTCTGACTCGACTTCTTGCTCCCGTTAATCCACGTTGACACTCGTTTCTTGTAACATTTATTCGCGGCGATGGAAATCGTACGTCATACGTTAATTTTTGTTAACAACTAGTAGAACTTGTTTCTGCCTTCCAAGAATTCCAGTGTTTATTTCGATGTTATACAACTGGTACTCAACAACGATTATCTGAACTGAATGACATGTTTCTTCGAGTTCTTTTAATCGTTGATATATGTACATATAACTGATGTTCTGTTAGCCAAAGGAAAAGACGAAATAGTACATTACGATACAAG